TTCAGTGAATAAGGTAAAGTTTATCCTCCATCTCTCCTGTTCACACATTCTTCCCAGGGTCAAAGATGTGCGAGCAAAGAAATACAAATTCATAATGTTTGTATTTATCCTTTTATTTTCAAAGCCTATGTTAAGTATGTGTGTGTCTGTGTGTGGTATGTATGTGTGTGGTGTATACATGTGTGAGCATGTATGTATATGGATGTGTACATGTATGAGTGTGTGTGGTGTGTACATGTGTGAATATGTGTGTGCATGGTACATACATGTGTGTGGTGTGTTCATGTGTATGTGTCATGGGTTCATGTGCATGTGTGTGTGTTGTGTTTTTATGTGTGTGTGCATCTGCGTGTGTATGTTCGTGTGTGTTAGTGTGTGTGATGTGTAAATGTGTGAGTGTGTGTATGTGTTGTGTACAGGTGTGAGTATGGATGTGTATGTACCATGATGGGCATGTGGAGGTCAGAAGACAACTTCCAGGAATCAGTTCCTTCCATCACATCTGGGAAATGAACTTGAAGGTCTCTTATCTCTAGTTTTAAAAGTGAAACTCTGCTTCGATTATGTTGTTCATTTATTATTTAGGGCTAAGAACATAGATCAATGGTAGAACCGTTTTCTGGCATTAGCTAGACCATGGTTTTGATTTCTAACTTAAAAAATATCTTACTAGTAAATGGACGCTGAATACCCACAAATGATTCCAACCAGATTTCTTGTATTTCTAGATGGAAAGCTAAAATCCCCAAGCACTTTTAGAGGATTAAACTTGTGCCCCAAATACAGGCACTTCTATAAACTAACCAATAGTTGTCTTTTCCTTAGAAACAATGTTTCATCCCCAGCTCTGACTACAGGAGCTCACACTGGAGAGTCTCTTCTGTTCTACCATCTATCCATGCTCCTTGCACACCCTCAGGTCTCCAAGCCCTTCTGTGAACCCAGCAGTCCTTTGTTTAATGTTGGCAACTGGCTTGCTGTAAAATGCCTTTATTATGTTTAGGTGTGTCCCTTGTATCCCTACTCTCTCCGGGACTTTTACCATGAAGGGGTGTTGAATTCTGTCAAAGGCCTTTTCTGCTATAAAGAGATGATCATTTGGATTTTTTCTTTCTGTTTGTTTATATGGTAAATTAAATTTATTGATTTCTGTACATTGAACCATGCCTTCATTTCTTAGATGAAGCCTACTTGGCCATGGTGGATGATCTTCTTGATGTGTTCTTGGATTCTGTTGCAAGTATTTTATTGGATATTTTTGCACCTATGCTCCTAAGTACCGCCTTATTTTAAATAGCCAGACACTAGAAACAACTTAGATGTTCCTCAACAGAAAAACTGACAAAGGAAATGAGGTACATTTACACAACGAAGTATTACTCAGTTGTTAAAAAATGGCATCATGAAATTTGCAGGGAAATGGATAGAACTACAAAAAAATTATCCTGAGTAAGGTTACCCAGACCCAGAAAGATAAATATGGTATGCATTCACTCACTTATATGTGACTATTAGCCATTAAATAAATGATAACCAACCTACAATCCACAGACCCAGAAAGATCAGGAATAGAGGAAGGGACTGGGGGGCACACGTGGAGAGGGAAATAGAAGAGATTTTAAAGGTAGACTAGGGGCAAGTGAGACAGCAATGGGGGGACCAGGTAGGGAGGGGGAAGGGAGGTAGGGTTGAGGAAGGGAATTTGAGGAAAGACAGCAGGAACTGAAGAACATTTGAAGGACTTCATGGAAATTAGTGCAGTAGAAACTTCCTAAAGTATATGAAGATGATCCTAATGAGATCTCATAATAATGGGGGATATGGAGTCTTATCTGGCCATCTCTTGTCACCAGATGAGGCTTCCAGTACCAGAGCTGGGTTGCATTCGATTGGGTTGTTGGCCAAGGTGTGTGTGGGGGTCCCATGGTAATCCCCAAACAGCCTAGACTGATGCTAAGACAAAGGGTTGCTCTCTGCAAACTGACATCAGGGCCCCACTGCCAAGGACAACACCCACACAACTGATTAAACATGGAGAATTCCAGATGGTGCCTACATGAAGCATTCACCCCTACATTCTAGTGTCTTTGGTGTGGGAAGGTACTCTGTAGACTACCGAGAGAGAAACATGGAAACCAGCCCAGCCACAAAACCTTTGACCTATAATCTATCCTGCCTGCTAGATATGCTAGAACAATGGTGGCAGAGGACTTGGGGGAGTGGCCAACCAATGTTTGATTTAACTTAAAGCCTGCTCCACAAGACAGAACCCATACCCAACACTGATTGGGTGACCAAGAACCAGAGACTACATAGCCCTGAGACCTAGGGTAAAACCAAACACTACTAGTCTAAAAGAAAAAAGTATCAGTACATTGACTCCTAATAATATTCTGCTATACTCCTAGGTAAGTGCCTTATCCATTCCTCCTCAGAGAAGCTTCCTCTTGCAGCAGATGGAAGCAGATGCAGAGACCTACAGCCAGACATTACACACAGAGTCCTTGAACTACACAGCTGTAAATGGGAGGTCTCCATCAAATCCCACCCCTCAGAGCTTAGGGAAAGTGGCAGAAGAGGAGGTGGTAGAAAGAGTGTAAGAGCCAGAGGAGATGGAGGACACCAGGAGAACAAGGCCCTCTGAATCAACTAAGCAAGGTGCACATGAGCTCACAGAGACTGAGGCAGCAAGCACAGGGCCTGCACTGGTCTGTCACAGTTACTCTGCATATGTATTACAGCTTCCGGTTTAGTGTTTTTATGGGACTCCTGTGAGAATGAGTGGGTCTCTGATTCTTGTGCCTGCTCTTGGGGCTCTTTTCCTTCTGTTGGTTTGCCTTGTCCAGCCTCAGTGTGCTGGGTTTTGCTTTATATTATTAAATTTTATTTTGTCAGGTTTGGTTGTTATCTCTTAGAAGCCTGTTTTCTTCCAATAGGAGACAGAAAAGATGTGGATCTGGAGGGGAGGGTGAGTGGAGGGAGGGGAACTGTAATCAGGATATATTGTATAAGGCAAGAATCCATTTTCAGTAAAGAGAAAAATGGGGGGGTGGAGAAACCAGGAGTAGTATCATATATTCCTTCATAATTACTTCCATGTGAATTTTCTACTTCCTTCTCTCTATAGTGACCGAGGACCAAAGAACTCAGAAGTCATAGGAAGAACAGTGAGAAACAAGAAATAGAGTCAAGATGGTATTTCTGCTATCTCTAGTTTCCTTCAGTTTACCAAATAATCTAACCGGAACGAAAATATGTAGAGATTAGTTTTTCAGAGGTCAGGCCAGCCTGAAATTCACTTACCATGTAGAGACTGGGCTAGCCTTGAACTCACAGAGACCCTCCTGCTTTTGCCTCTCAAGTACTGAGATCAGTGGCATATACCACCACAGCCAGCAAGAAGGGTATTTTTTTTCCTTTTCTGTTTTGTTAAAATATAATTACATCATTTTCCCCTTCCTTCCTCCAATCCTTCCAGGTTCCTCAAGCCCCCTCAAATTCATGTCCTCTTTTTCTATGATTATTGTCGTTAGATGTGTGTGTGTGTGTGTGTGTGTGTGTGTGTGTGTGTGTGTGTGTGTGTACACAAACTGCTGAGTCCACTCAGTGTTGCTTGCATGTACATGATTTCAGGTGGACCCCTTGGCAATGGATGACTAAGTAACAGGTTCATACCTGGGAAAGACTAATTCTTCTTCTCTCTTAGAGAATCCTTATCCAGTGTCTCCAAGGAATCTGCTTTTCACTCATGAATAACCAAGAAGTCTTACGTAGGAACATCAAAATACTTACATAGAGAAGTAGGGAAAACAAATGAGACGTTCACCACGTGACTCTGGTTTTCGTGTTGATGAGCTGAAACAGCTACTATATTAAAGAAAAGCAAAGGAACACCCCAGTGGACAGCCAGTCTTGACCCATTAGAACCCCAGGATCTTTATCTACAACACTAGCCTACAAATTCCCTGGGAATCAGTGGACGTTTAAATGACATAATTTATACAAAAGCCTTTTACAAACTATACCAAATATGTGAAGCAGAAATGCTATTTGCTGATGAGGATAGGACTGCCATAAAATAATCTAAAGTAAGTTATAATGAAGAATATTATTAATTAAACAAATCACTGCTTATACAGGTCTTAGACATAAGATCACACTACAGATTGACTCAAGAATGTATTTATGCTCTATGTCTCAGAGATGCTGAGAGGCACTGATTGGATGTTAAGTCCCCCTTTCTTGGATTTTATGAAGCCCATTCAGAATGAGCCAGGTTGAGAACACCACCAATTCCATGTTCTAGGTCCATCTGTTGGCAAAAAAATATAATGCAAACAGCTTTATAAGTGCTATTTTCAATGAAATATCACAGAACAGCTTGTCCCAATGATATTTCTAAAGCTTGCCTGCAAACCGCCTACTGGGAAATCCAACAGAAAGAGAAGGGGGATGAGGGGGAAAAGCATACAGACAGTGACAGGAATAAAAAAAAAAAGAACAAAAGGTAAAGACAGATTACCGAGAACAAGAGCACTGGAGGACAGCATGGAGGAGGGCGGTACAGTACCTAACACAACCGTTTAGAAGCCTTAAGAGACCGAGCAATTGAGAGCAACTGTATAAATTTCATGGGGGCTGAGGACAGAGAAACACGCACAAACAGTGTACTTTGTCCAGGAAAAGCTTCAGACACACAGTAGCAGCTCAAGAACCACAGCATCGTTACTCAAGTGCTGAGAGGAAAATGCAAAACAGCCATGATTCTGAGCTGCATTTAATCCTTCTCCTAATACAAAAGTTCCAAGAACTAATAGAGATCTCAGTGTCTATTATGAACTTTGTAGGAAACCATCGGCCTGTCTTGAGTCTCTTCTTTTAACGCAAAAAATCTATTATACATTACACAATAGCCCCTGTGTCCATGCAAAGTGTTTACGGGTCTTTGTTCAGAACCACACATTACAGTGTGCGTGATGTCATTCCGGGAACTTACTTACCTGGGGTCGGATAACTTTCACGATATTTTTTAGGGCAGTGTCAGGGGATGGAGGTGAGCAGTCAGGTGTTGGGCCTGTAGAGCTGTTTCTATGGTGACCAGTTCCTGGAGCAGTAATTGCTACCTCAGAGGCATTATCTGCGAATAAAAATAGAACTTCCATGAACTTAATCAGTCTGTTTACCTCTCAAGACTTGGGAATTATTTTTGTGAATGTGAGTTGAGAATTCAACTTAAAACTGATATCAATTATAATATCATAATTAAGAATATGCTCAAGTGATGTATTTTAAAGAAAATACATGCTGACTGCTCTGTCTTCCTTGAAGATGGTGAATATTAATCCTTGCAGTATTGTTCCAACCTGAATGAGCAATATTCAGTTTACAGTGGCAGATCATCCTCCACAGGTCCTTTGTTGTTGTTGTTGTTGTTGTTGTTGTTTTGAGACAGGGTTTCTCTGTTTAGTTTTGGTGCCTGTCCTGGATCTCGCTCTATAGACCAGGCTGGTCTCAAACTCAGAGAGATCTGCCTGGCTCTGCCTCCTGAGTGCTGGGATTAAAGGCGTGCGCCACTACCCGGCTCCTCCACAGCTCTTAATACCACCACCACTATATGAAAGACCACAACCTTACTTTGAAAATGAATACAGTTTTTCAATATGATGGGTCTGGCTAACATTTCCCATAATTTTCTAATGAAAGCGTATTTTTACTAGGCAGGAATTTCGTATCTGCTTGATTCCTAAAACCCAAACTCAAGCCCCTAGAATAACTTCACCTAGACATTCCTAAATCATAGAACTTAATAAAAAAAAACCTGAAATCTATAAAACATAAACAAATTTGTCACTACTAGATAATCATATAAGCCTATATGTTAAAAATGAAAATAAATGAAATTTCAAAATCTAAATGAACCTTCCCTGGTGTTTAGCATTTGACAGTGGGGGGGGAATAGAAAGTTTTAAAAGAAACAACTTAGAATTCAGCATCTTGTGTAATATTTTTGTTTTCAATTTATACTTAAACAAAATAACATCAGAGGCACAGTTTGGGAATATCTGGAATACTTTGAAATAGATGGAAAAACAGCATAACTTTGGTTATCACATAGAACGTTTATCTGCTTAATAATAAACTGGCAGTCTTTCATATTTTTAATAAAAACTACTGCAAGTGTATATCTGCAAGAAGTTCACTTCTGTTATGTTTACACATGTGTCCCAGTAATTTTATGTCCCAGAGAGATGAACTAATGCAAATTAAACTGAGGCTGTGTTTACTATAAACAGGCATGTTTCTCTGTGTTATGGCCATTGCTTATAATCACAAGTGAACATTGATAATTTATGAAGGCACCTTTGTTCATAAAAAGGGGATTATTCCCCTAAGACTGTGTCCATCAGGTGAAAATGCAACTCAGGACTTTGGGAGACAGTTCAGTCAGTAATGTGACTGCTGCACAGGCACGATGATCCGAATTCAAATCCTTAACATCCATGTAAAAGATGGGGCAATGGCATGTATATGTAATTCCAGCACTTCAGTGGGGTCGGGAAGGAAACAAAGGATCCCTGGAAATCACTGGCCAGTCAGCACAGCTAAGTAAAAAGATTAAGGTGCCGTAAGGCCAATGTTTCAACAACTAAGGAGAAAAGTAATAGAGAAGAACACCTGAAGACAAGCTCTGGCCTTAACATGCATGTACACACATATGCACATCCCCCTGCACACATCACATGAACACATATACACACATGTGCACATATACACATACACACAATTAATTCAGTCTCACTGGGGAATCATGAATCAAAAAATTCAAATATGGCATATTTAAATTAAATGGATCATTCACAAAAAGTTTTGAACTATCCAGGGTACTTTTCTAAGATTTAATAGATAAGGTGGACTTGTTAATATCCTAGAATGAGTGAGGTCATCTAAGTGGTTAAATCTTGGCATACAAAAAGCATTAGTTAGCAGGATGATACACATTGCTCTGATTCTCTCCTCTCGCCCTTCATTCTTCTCATCCATCCAACCACATTTAAAGAAAACGTACTGGGAGTAGTTGTGTCAAGCACTACGGTTACATCACAAAGATAAATATAATCCAACCATTCTTAAAGAAAACGTACTGGGGACAGTTGTGTCAAGCACGATGTTACATCACAAAGGGAAACAGAAGAATCTTGCCTGGTGCTGTGGAAAGAGAGGGCAAACAGACAAGCACAGAGGACAGCTGGAGCAGTGAAACTACCCTGGAGGTATTCTTTGGGTTATGACATTATACATCGGTCTAAACCAACGATGCGAAGCTCCAAAGGTGAACGCTAAATTAAACTGTGAACTTTGGGTCAAAATGGGGTACCCCTGCAGGTGTATCACTTACTGCAAATGCACCATTTCAGTGAGGGGTGCTGACGGTGGGGAGGAGACACCGGGGATATACGGGAACTCCAAACTTCCGCTCAGTCCTCCCGGGAATCTAGTGTGGTCTAAAATATCAAACGGTTTTGCCAATCTACACTAATTTTCTTTTTACAAAAACAATGCTGTGATGTACAGAGAAAGAAAGAAGTCTATGATTGTCTAAAGTCCTGTCCTAGAGAACCAAATGGAGCAGCTGGTGTCGGTAAAATGGATAAGGCTGTGTGAATCCATTTTTACCTTCATTGCTTCTGATATTACCTCTGCCTGTTTTTATTGTGCTTTAGACTCCAGTGAATTAACATTAGATATAAATTATTATCATTATTAATGTATTCTATGTTTTGTTGTTCATACTGTCCCTGCATTACATGCAGAATTGTTTCTTATATTCATTTTCCAGTTTATTTTTTCTTTCTTCAGCTGTATCTAGTCTGCTGGCAAGCTCCCAATTTCAATTATACTTTTAAATTTTAAAATTCCTATTTATTTCTTACTAGATATCCCATATCACTACCTGATATTGCTTAGCACCCACACACACATCTTTTATGCTTGGCATTTGTTTACTTGAAAATGGCAAGTACTGATTGTTTTAGTGCATGTGTTTAGATAGAATTTTTAAATATTTTTAATTTGGCATGCAATGACTGTACACATTTATAGGGTACACAGTGATATTTCAGTATCTCTTGACGATGTGCAGTGCCTGGATTTGGGTAATTAGCTGATGAATCATCTCAAACATTTATCATTTCTTTGTGTTGTGAATAACTGGAGGTGGGTAGGAAAGAGGAGGATGGAAAGGAAAATGAACAGATGCTGGGGGATAGAGGGATAGGACAAAGAACTTCTAAACTTGTAAAAGTCTGTGTCTGATAGCAGCAACACTGAACTCTTTAATGATTTGCCTCTGCGGGTTACACTAGTTTGTCTCACTGTTTATCTCTACAGACATTTTATGTTTCACTCAAGTTGCTGAAGCAAAAATCTAGAGCATTAAACATAACTTATTCCTTTTCTTCTATCACATATTAATTCAAAGCATCATCCAAATTTGCATTCAAATACTGATGCTGAATTCTATGAAAAGCATGCCGGCATACCAGAGGGTTTATTTAATCTTTCTGTTTTCAGTGTTCTTTATTATAAAAAGGAGAATTGTTACTAATCATTGTCTGTGGTCTCTGTGCAGATAAAATGGAAGACAACTAACCTACATGTAATTAGGCCTCTGTAAGTTTAATAAATGTATCTTTTTCTGCTATCAAACTAAATATCATAGTGAAAGTGTGGAAGATGAAACAAATCCCATAGAGAAAGTAAGAAAATAAATAAAAATATTTATCTATAGCCTATATGCAGAATGGTCTTGAGCAGTTGAAGCAGATTTGAGATCATATCTTTGTTAATACAGATTAGTAGAGACAAATATAAATAAGAGATGGTCTCTTGAGGCCCTGTTTTGTCTGAGTTTTCCCGAGAAAATGCACTAGAAATGTCTGTACAGGCAAAGAGACTTCCTGTCAGGAACTGGATCACAGATTACAGAGGTAGAGGGCTGACGATGTGCAGCTGGCTAGACACAGAAGAGCCAACACGCCATTCTGCTTTGACTCCAACAGACGGAGAAGCAGGAATGCTTGCAGGCTGAGCTCTTTTACAAAGGCTAACATGCTCAGAACCCTGGTAGGCCAAAATTTCAGCCCAATTCTGAAGTCCAGAAAACACAAATGTTCACCCAATCCATCAGTCGAGAGTTCCTCGTTACTCAGTCTGTTTGCTCTGCTCAGCTCTCCAGTCAACTGGATGACTGGCTGAGGTTCACCCATTGGGGAAGACAAATCCGTTTGCTCAGTCCACCATTCGGATGTTAAGTTCATCCACAAACAACCTCAGACAAACCCCGAAAAAAATGCTTGGCCAAGTGCTTTGCAACTGCCCTCTGGGCAGTTAAGTTCACACAAAATTAACCACCATAGAAATGACTCACTACCAGGACTCTGGCCTTATTCATTGTTTTTGTTGCTTGTTTTATGTCTTTTTTTTTTTTTAGCATTAAAGTCAGTTAAGAATGCTGAAAACTCCATAAAAAAACATAAACCAAAAGATTCTCCAGTGCTTGAAGTAGTTCAATACAAAATATAAGACACTGGGCAATCAAGGAGTAAATTACTTAGAAAACACACATATAAGTATTTGCTTTCTAAATCTGTGATCAGTTCCATTACCTTGGCCACTTGATTTTGTACTACATTGATTCTGCATTGTTTCCCACATAGACTCACTTCTCTTACCCTCTGTGTAACTTACTTCAGTGCAGTCTTTAAGAAATACTTAGTGAAATAAGATAGACAAGGCAAATATAACATCACAAATGTTCTTAATAATGCAGAGAAAGATGATCTGGCTTCTCCAGTTCCTTGTTCATTCTTTCTGGAAAAAAAATCTACAAATGGGATATTCCAGACTTCTAGAGTATACATAAAAGTCTTGGGAAATTAATTTAATCCTAAAATACCCAGTTACCCAGTGGACTTTGCAATATGAAGCCTTTGTCCAAAGACAATTTTCTGTGTTCTACCTGCAGTTGATGGCAAAAATAAAATAAGGTGGGGGAAAATCTGCCTAGAGAAAATTGCTAAGTAGACCTGGATCTTCAGATAGAAATAGGGCTCTACTCAGATTAATTTACTACACAGT